CTTCAATCTCGAATCATTAATATTATCACTGTGAATTTATCTTCATAAATTTGCTTGACATTTGTTTCGGTACAAAGAGATCTAGTCTTAAATACCGAATTTCCCTGCATCGAAGTTTTTTAACATGCTTTTAACTCTAAATGTATCCGGCTTTATTCTTAATATCTTGTTCAACGGCTCAAGCTGAACCGTCTGGACTAATGTTTCAGATGAGGCAAATGTTTCAGTTCAGAAGAACGAATTTTACACACCTTTTTTTGGACATTTACACCAGCCGTCAATACCTCTAAGAATCGATGCTCATCTTTTGCCAATGACAATAACGATATTATGCTATAGCAATCACCGGTCAAGATCTCGTATTAACGACTACGGCTTATTTAGCACTGCCAAACTCAGCAGCTTTGTGAAAAACGCGGTAGAAGACAGGGTGCATCTTCTTTTTTACAAAGCACTATCTATCACCATGCTGTTCATGAAATCCCGCTATGAGGTGCAAAGCAAAAAATCGTAGGTCAATCTAACGACGTTCCGCTGCAACGCGTTTAACACATGTTCTTCAGACCACTTTCTGATTCTATTCGCTGAAAGCCTGGAAGCTGGTTGGTCTCGGATTTACTCGACATTCTTTCCTCAACACTCTTGCTTCCGTATAGAATGGATTTAATTAATATCTTGGTAACGAATTTTTTATATTCCTCATGACGGACGACTGCTGGAAAGCGGTCAAATAGTCTGTTTTAGATAGTAAAATAAACTGAAATCAAAGCATTTTCCATATGTCCCTTTTTCGGATACTAATCGTTTCTCTTCCAATCGCGTATACTGGCTGTAATTTCTTCCAATCCATTCAGGTACTGCAATTTCTATCACCAACGATCATCATTGCTTCACTACTAAAAGTCATGTCTTTTTGCCATAGGTAAGGCAATGTGATTTCTTGTCATCTGACAAATGTCATCAGACCCTTTAGCCGCTAATAGACATATCATCATAATCATCCTTTTTCGACTCCCTGCTGGATGAAGGCCTTTCAAAAGCTATGCTCTAAATTCTGTTTTCTGAATATAAATATTTTTTAAACTTCATATACGATCCAACGAATTTCTTCAACTTATTCTACGATCGATCTGGAGATCTACGATTAGGTCACTCTTTCTTGGACCCCAATCCAATGTTTCTCGGGCTTAACGATAATTGGTTCTTCTTGAAACTCTCCTCCTATTTTCCCTTAAAAATTTTCACTCGTGTAAAGACATCGCACACTCCTGTTTGTTCGTCCTTCATTTTTTCTTGTTATTCCCAAAGCATGTTGCATAGCATAGTGCAACCGTATTCCATAGGTTACTACTGGGAACATATACTGAGCGAAAACTTCCCGTTTCATGCACAAGGTTAGTTTCCCATGTTAGAACATTTTCGATCTTCCAAAAGTGCTCCATGTCATATTTGCTCTTCTTCTGATCTCGCAGAGTCGGTTCTCCGTAGCGGTCCCAGAAGAAGTAGTTTGACACTCTCTCAAGCCAAACTCATTTTACTTCAGCAGGTCGTGGGGCCACTGTTCTACCGTATATGACCCTCGCATCGTCAGCTTCATTTTCAGTCATGGTTTAACGATTGCGATTTCAAAGTACTTGTGCCTTCTTTAAGATTTACACTAGTAGTTGCATTCTTACAAATCGTAGAGATGAGGTCTGTTTACCAGTTTTCAATTCCCTGATTCTTCAAACAAGGACTCCAACACAAACTGGGTGTAGACTAAGCCGAAGGCCTTCTGGAAATCGAAGAACTTCAGACAGAGAAGAAGCTGATATTCGTTGCTTGCTGAATTACTTGTGCTGCTTAAACATGATCATCGTACTAAATCGTACTAAACTCATTTCTGAATTTGTCTGTTGCTTGACTATGCAACGTTTTTCTTGAAGTCTGTGCCTTTGTGATAATTAGCAACAAATTAATTAGTCACCGGTTATTCAGATCTCATTGCCTCCCTTTTTAATGAATAGAACCACTGAAGCAGTAGTCCAGTCGTCACGAAATTTCCATTCTTTCAAATAGCTTGAAATTAACCGTGTTAATATCTTGGTCACTGTTTCACCTTCTTAATCCACGAGTTCGACTATAATGTTACTTTCACCAAAAGTATTTCCTCTCTTCTCCTGCTTCCTTGTAAGACACTTCTTCCGACAAGACACCTGCAATCTTGTTCACTTGATTTCTTACTTCAGGTTCCTCATAGTACTAGAACAGTGCTATTTTCATCTTTGTACGGTTTTCTATAGAAATCTTCCGCTCTCCTTAGAATCAAACTCTATCTCTAATTACAGTCAGGTTTACTGCTTTTGAGAGCTAAAAATTGTTGCTTCCCGATCGTAGATCTTAGATTTAATCGCTTCATATTTCTGTGGTCTTCAATGGTTTCCCTCACTGGTCTGAAGTTAAATGCTCGGACGCATAAAGTTTTTGAATGTTCCACCCATTTAGCTATCTTCTTCTAACTGCCACTGAATTCATTTCCTTTCGGCTTATCGTTAGCTGTTTGTTTGTATCGTTATTTTGGGATGAATGATGAATAAATGATTTTTCTGCAAAGACATTTCCATGTGGAATGAGTGGCATCTTCTCGTGGTAGGCTTCCTTCTTTATGACTCAGATCAGATGCACTTTCTATCGAAAGAGCCTGTGAATGCCTTTTGTACTGCATGTGTTCATCGCCGGCGCCGTGTTCTTCCTATCACTGAGGATGAAGTCAGTTTCCTTTCTAGCTTCATTTCAATATTTCAGTATACATTTCCTGCTTGCGGTTTTCTGGAAAAAAAGCGTTCTTGATTTTCAAGCTGTTTCGTTACCTATGCTGTTTTTCTCACCGTATTCAAATTGGCTAACGGGGCATTCGTTTCCTAGTGGTGATCTGATTTCCGATTTGGAATCACCAATTATGAAGTTATAACTAATAAATTTTCGACCTCTTCGTAAGGATGGTTTGAAATCGGGTGTATTTCGAAACATCGGAATCATATCGCTAAAAAACTCTCAGCATCAGTCCTGTACACCTCTCTGGAGTGCTTTCAGCTTATAATATATTGTTTTTTATTCTTCTGACGATATTGAACCATACTACGCTGTTGTTCCATTCGCCGACCCTTTCTAAAGCAGGTGTCCATTTTCTATTCTTATCACGTCGCTGAGTCCGGCAATTTTCCACTTCATTTTCTGAATTCGTTTGCCAATTCCTAAAGCCTTGCTTCCCTTTGGAATATTCTGCTTTGTGCATTGCCAGCTTTAATAAACTAAACCGTAGCAGTTCCCATCCGTAGCTATGATATTCATAGCACCCCCCTGTATTCTGTGTGACCAGCTGCCAGCGGCAATACAGCATCAGCAGAACGAGGGTAGTGGTATCAGTTGTGATTTCATCTTGAAGAATTTGGATATAACTGACTACTCTTTTCATGCGGGTTGGCGAGTGCTGGTTCTTACACTTAACCGGCATATTTCGAAAGCGACTCAGCTTTATAACCCGCTGTCATCGTCCTACCACTTTGAGGTAGGAGGATGAAATAAAGTTTAGGAGGGAACAGGTGTATATACACCCATATAATTGCCTTGTATGAATAGCTCAATGAACTGACAGTCTAGAAGAAACTATTACTACTATTCATATATTTAAGATAAATAAAATGACTATGTTTCTTGATGCTGCGGCTTTGGATGAAATAGTAACACATTGAAGTCTTTATCGGAAACAATTTTGATAGTACGACAACGAATTATTTCAGGATACAAAAAACGACTTGAAAGGGTAAACTTTTTCGATATGGCTTCAGGTAAAATAGGAGAAGCCGGTATTTCATTACCTGCTGGGTATGCCCATATCAAAAAAGTACCTTTTTTGTCTTGCGAAGGTCACAATCAGGAATGGGCAACTTTAAGATCGATGACGTAAGCAGCTGAACTTCATAGATTGATTTAAGCCACCGGCTAACAGAATGAAATTTTCGGTAAACTAATAGGCTGAAAGAAATCCTGCGCAGAACAGTGTCCTGATGATGCTACGGTCTATGCGGCGAAACGCGTCGGCAATAAGGTGTTGTGCTATCTGCAGTGTTTGGGGTCCTGAACGATGAATCGTTCAAACACTTATCTGAAGTGACAAAAGCTGACGCTTATTAATTAATTGAAATTTTATCACTTAATGATTTCTATTGATCGTGATACACATTAATAAGGACTCAGCCACTGTTACCACTTACGGCGTAGTAGCTTCTAAACAATTATTATATGAAAAAACAGGAATATGACTATTTTGTCGGATCACGGTCAAAGCATGGCATCACGCGCCACCACGGAATATGGTTACGTGCATTTTTAATAATCGTTGCAATCAGCGTGACGGCATTTGCGACCATAAGCAGTGAAGCAGTCGAAGCTCTCAAAAATGCTCACTTTGATGCAGAATTATCCAGAACAGGAATACCCTGCTTATGAACAGGAACAAAAACAGGATAACCGCACCATCGTCCATGTTCACCCCTGACGAACGTGCGATCAAGCGTCACACGCCGCCAACGTCATAAACAAAATAATAAATGACATTATTCAGTTTTTGGTAAGTAATAATGATTGATCGATAAATGCAGAGGTGTCACATGGAAATCACTTTTTGGTTTTTGTATGATGATAGCCAATTATGAGCCGTCGTCGAGCAGTCAGACCTTAGCCCACTGTACATGCTTTACAGAGGTGTAAATGACGAGGTCAGTATGAGAAAGGAAAACTTATCCATACAAAGCAGTCGTGCAAATTCCTACTGAATTTCTACAATAATTTGCTTGATTGAAGGCAACAGTCAGAGCCGCCGGACCGCAATTCGCCGCATTAATGAAGGTGAGGCTTGACAAAGGCGAAGTAAGAGGTAGAAATGAATGGCTGACGTCTGCCACGCGGCATGAGCAATTCGCTAAATGGTACTTGCGGTTGATGTTCCGCTGAGGTCACGGCTAGATGCCTGCCGTGCAGGGAACATCTGGCCGCACAACTTGCACTTGTACAATTAGAGACGCAAGTTCGGCCGGCGGCAGCAGTGGCGGTGGCGGCGGCGGCGGAGCAGGTGTTTGGCGCATAACGTCTTCCATTGTGTGAGGCTTGTGAGGCTTTTGACTCTGGCCGTCTAAGAATTCGTTCTGTGCTAAGTCGAGCATGGACGGAAAGAAGCAGCTGCGTCGTATGACGATTACGGCTGTAAAATTGGCCTTACGGACGGCTGCCAAGTCTGCGATGACGATGACGCAAAACCCAAACCGTTCACCTTCCCGACGACACACAACCAGAAGGACCATGGAGCGCGACTGACACAAAAAGCCAACTACGCAAAACCCCCCGTCTCCTGCTGGCCGACGCCTCATGTTCTACGCTGACACCTCGATAGGGCAAAAACTGCTGCAAAACCGGCTCGGCTCAAAACAGTCAGTTTCACAAATCCGAAGCTCGAAACCGACACATGAAACCAGTTTCAGCAGATTTGACGAAAGAAACTTGCAAATAACATTGCAATCCGCTTGCACAATGAAAACAACTCGCCGTTTGCACGTGAGTAGCTTTGCAAGGCACAAAACTGCCTTGAAACGACCAGCCGATTTTTAATGCTGCAATATGTTTAACCTCACAGCGTCAGTCACATTCGTCGACTGACCGTTTGTCAGAATGCCAAGCAGCCTTTTACATTAATCGATGGACGAGAGAAGATTACATTGTGGACTAAGTCTACTAAACGACGTCCTAGTACAGGAAAGAGGGGCTATGACGTCTGACAAAAACAACTGAGTCTCGGTATGAGTGACCAATAATAGCACGCCACTTCACATTCCTAAAATGTGGTAATGGACTTGAGTGTCCTATTTTAATATTTAGCGATCATCTCATTTGGGTCAGGCCGAGGAACACTATTAATAGTAGACCCGTTTACATTGTATATACGACGTGTTCAGTTGATACAAATAATGGTCGATTAAAAAGGTTACATAATAATACTACAATAAGCATGGAGGTGTATGTGAAATCTTTGGATATCTTACCGGCAGCAACCCATTAATTGTTCAAACATCTGCCTAATATCTGTTTGGCATGATATTTCTAGCTGAGTTTTCGAAGAAAATAATAAATTTTATTCTTAATCGCCGAAATCTTCGCTTACAACGCTTATACATTTTACGAAGTAAAATCTCGACATTTAGGATTGAGTTCGATCTATATTCAGGGAAGATTATGTAACAATAGTTGCAACAAAACAATTTCTCCAATATTATTCTATTCGCTTTAATTTCCAATACTATTCTCGACCTGCAGCATCGTCGGTATGACTCGACAGTGAGGGCAAGCGTATACAAGGCTGAATGCATAGCGCCACGAAATTTATATAGTAGCAGAAATAAGAACATGAAAAGCTATGTTGTGACAGCGGCTGTCAATCCTACCCATAAAACATGACCGCTTTCCGTTACTGTGTATTATATCCATCGATGGCTGTGGTTGCCTTGTGGCAAACTCATATTGTTGCTTCTGCAAACGACGTAGCAATGACCAAAGGTGAGTCAGGTGGACGAAACACAACGTTATTTGAGGGCGCGTTTCAAACTACGACGAACGAAAAGGCACTGAAATGCGAAAGCTGAACAAACGATCGAAATGCTACGAGAAGCGTTTCCGCCAATTATTGAAACGATAAGGCTGTAAATGCAGGTGAAGAAACGTATCCTTCACCAGTCGTCTGAATTCCGTTAAACCAGTTCGTCGTCTTTCAAGAAATCTACCTAATCGGCTGCACAGCTTTATAACATAACAGATAAAATATCCGCAACGATGTTCAAGTGCAATGCACGATTATCGGCATGTCACTTGTCCATCGACATGTGGAAACTGACAACGACGGCAAAAATGATGAAGACTAGATGCATAGTACTTCATCTACTCTCCGTACTGGGTAGCACAACGCATGATCAAATTATGGGAGCAGCCTACATGTGTCATCAGATTTTCAATTTTAACTATCAAAGCTGCTCACTGATACTGAGCGTATCATGTTTGCTGTTGTGATAAAGCTACGACGTATCACTGTCATAAGACTCTGCTTGTCAACGTCGTTATTCGACGGTACTCGGGAAAAAACTTTCAACTGTAGTTGGACAACGGAAATTGACCTATCGAAAGTCATTATTCATTTTAAATCCTTAAAATCATTTAGGTCGCGGAATGAAAAGTAGTCCTGCAGCTCTTTGTTCATTAGTCATCAAGAACCAGGAAAAATATTTCTGCGGTTACAGCAACCCGCATAAAGCACGTATATTCGGGCACTATCGACGGTGAAACAAGATTTCGAAGACAATTCGTCGGCCAAGTCCGAAGTGATCAGCTATGATATACGTGGTTACATGTCGGTGAAATGACATCGGTGACCTGTAAATGACTGTGTTGAATAAACGTACAGGGATAAATACGTGTATAACGAATGGTCCCTGTTTGAAAATGCATACATTGAATGGGAACATAGCGAAGAAACTAAAACACGACTTAAGACTTACAGAATCATCGTTTGTCAGATCCGTCGCTGGGGCCGAATTGCACAACTGGAACAGTAGGAGGAAAACCGCTGATGAAAAAGA